GAAAAAAAAAAAAAAAAAAAAAAAAAAAAAAAAAACACATCATGGTAAAATTAATACCTTCTCAGCTTCGCATCGAAGCTAAAAATGATTTTTTAAATCATATAAGTGTATTTTAGTTTAGAAATGCATAGATGTGGTAATATTTATTGTGCTAATAGCTCATCCTTATTTATATGAATTACTTATTTATGAAGACTGGACATTTTTATAAACGAATGAAATTATCAGAAAACGAAAAAAAAATGTTAAAACATAAGTACTTTTATTTATTTTACTCTTTTAGATAGACCATCATATTATTAAATATAAAACGTTTTAAATTTAATCAAAGTTCAAAAGCTGCGGGTCGTTAAATGAAATAAAATAAAAAAAACATTAAACGTAAAATTTAACAACGTTGTACTAAAAATAAAAACAAATTAATAAACATGAAACACAAAAATAAAATAACGACATTATATCAATAAATGATAAACTCAAAAATAAATAAATGGTATTACTTTTAAAAGTGTTTAATACATTATGTTTAAAATTTTATCTCTTCCGTTTATTAGACAAAATGTAATATAAGACTTAACATTTTATTTTTAAGACTATGATGCTATAAATTTACAGCACTACAGTACTTTACAAACATTATTAGTATATACTAATAATTAGTTTATAAATGTTTCTGATTTCTCGGATATATTCCATATGTAAACACTAAAAAAAAAGTTTTATACCTATCCAATTATAATTATAAATTATAAATCAATCAAAATTTAAATGATCTAGAAAATAGTTTTTTAGAAATTAGTTAAATTATTTTTATTCTATGAGAAATTTAGTGAAAACACTCATGAAAATTATAAGATTTATACTTATGAAACACTTAGTTTATTAAACTTTATAGTGGTTAGGCTTACAGTATGATACACTCTGTATTTTAAAATATGTAGAGATTATACTTCTAGAACATATAAGGTAACTGTATAAGGTGATTCTTTTAATGCTAAGTACTCGATTTCTCTAAAAATAACAACTATGTTTAAAAAATTATTTTTGGTATTCTATATATATATATATATAAACCAGGTTCTAACCTCAAGGTGTCTAGTTTTATAGTGATTTTCTCATTGTTGGGTGTCTCATCTTGAGTGCAAGTCGACCATAATACTCGTCCCGTCCATCATTGGCTTAACCATATAACTATATATATATATTTCTTGATTAATTAATAATTAATTGACTTAATCACTCATTAAATAAGCTAGTTAATTATGTATATTGTCATTTGGAAAACAAAGTTGACATCTTTATAAAGTATAAAGGGATGAACATAAAAAATACTTCATGATTAATAAATCGAAAAAAACATGAATTGAAATCAAAATTGAAATTTTCGATATTATAATTAAGTGATCAATGGTAAAATAATCACTTAGTGGATCTCGCAAGAATTTGAAAACTTGTAAAATAGTTGCTAGACTAATTAGTATGTTTATAGGGATAAAATGTAAAAATCCATAATGATGATTATTTATTTTTTTTAACTTTTATTTTTTAACTTAAAAAAAAAACTATTCCAGAACTTTTTATTTTACGTGTTAAACAGTAAAAAACTTTTTTACACGTTGTAAAACTTTTTGAATTGATGTCTCAACTTCATCATAGTTCACGATATTTATTTCAATTTATATTGTAAAAACATTTTTTTTATTATAAATTACAACTTTTCTTAAGTAACTCGAGTTAACTAAATTTATTTTATTTTTAATAAATTATAATCTAATAGTAAAAGTAATAAAATTATATTATTAATGCAATAGATTTCCAACTTGATAGTTGTTATCCAGTCATTTATAAGTATTGATTATTTATTAAAATATTTCTCTCTAACCTACTTTATTATGTTAAGTAGTCCTAAATACGAATAAACTAGTACATGATTTAACGAATAATTATACTTATAGTTAAATTAACGTGGATATTGAAACTATGGTCTTTCGTATCTTTAATAGCTGTCCAAACTATGTTCTTAATTATAAGTTCCAAGGTAAAAGCTCTTAACAAATATTAAGGTATTTTAGGGAAATTTACCATTTAATCATTCACTCTTTATATCTGCCTCTCCTCTTTGAGATATAGGAATACGTCCAACTGTCAACTTTGTTACCATGACTACATGAAACACTGAACAATATTGTGTGTGTCATGATTTGAGTACACTTTACATTTATTAACTATGATACTATGAATATGTTAAAAATTACATCTTAGATATTTTTTACATGCTTTTATGGGAAAATTTTATCGTTGCAAAGCAACGACTTAATTAGGTTTAACTTTTCATTTGCGGTTAGGGATTGAGGCTTCAATAGGAGCCAGAAAGACTAGATTTAGTAACTTCAATAAAATGTATAATTAAGTAAATGTACAATTATAGTTTCCTACTATAAATATCATAGTAATTTTTATTTCAAAATGCCCTTTCGATTTTAATTAGTTTTTACATGTGTATTTCTTCTTTGAAGTCAAATCAAAATAGTCATACGACTGGCTCTTTTTACCATTATCATTTATTTATCAGTTGTCATGGTAACTTGTTAGTGACATAAAGAAATGTTTCTATGTGTCTTCGTACAGCCGAAATGTATTAATTTTTAATCAAATACTTTTCAGATACTCAAAATTTTCGCAAATAATAAAAATATATCACCTGATTTGATAAAAGTATTAGATGTTGTGTAAAGTAAGTATGTCATTAAAACACAATTACATAACGTAAAAGAGGTAAAATACTTAATCATATAGTTGATTACTTTGTACATATAGACACATAAGACTGACACTAAATTGAAGAAATATTATTTTGGTAGATTATCATACAATAATGTCCACATCCACATATAAAATTCATTAATATATTCATTTTTAGAGATTCTCTTTTGCTTTCAGAACAAATTTATGAAATGCAGTATTTAATTGGTCCTATTAAAATAAGGATTGCTCAATACTTAAAGTACACCATAGAAGAGTTTTTAATTTTAAGAACAATCGTTACAAAAAAATACCTATATGATTTAACATCACATCATTTTCATCACAAACAAACGTTACAAACATTTTCTTTTCGTATAAATAAATAAAATTTAGATGGTTTGATTACTTAAAAATTAAAAAGTTAATAGATGATTAACATATGAAGTGAAACAATTAATAATTAATGATTTACATATAAACTAAAACAATTTTTTTTTTTGTTCTATAAATGTTAGTTATCTAATATGTTATTATTTATTGTACCAATATAACAAATAAGTATACTATAAGAAGTATTGGTATGGTAAGTATATTGCTTGTTAGTATTAGGATCGTGTCTTAAAATCAAAGATATTAATATAAATATTTCGGGCCCGTTCTAGGAAAACATTGAAATTGCTCTTATGATCAAAGGGTGTGTTTCTGAAACGAATTCATTTACAGAAGTTCTGTACCTCTTTGGTACAATTTTATAGCTCAACATTAACTCATTTAAAATTAGTACAGTAAAATCGTATAAAATATGTTATTTTAAATTGCATATTTTAATCCAGAAAAAAATTATTTTGACTATCATCAACTTTTAAAACAAAAGTTATAATAGTACCATTACATATTTAAAAATTAATAATGTGCTTTAGTTGTATATTGGCATATATTTCATGCTGAATTGAAAAAAATTGTGCTGAAATTATAAACACATACACCATAATTCATAGTCAATTTATTTATGTATTGTTACAATTAATTATTTATATTTATACAGTGACCATGAAAACCGTATGCTATCTTACTGTTTTATAAACAACATTATTATAATTATTTCCATTTTTTTTCAATCTTTTTATATACATATTTATATACATAACCAATTTTGGTTTCTCTAGTTGTATTTTTCACCCTATGCCAAACTCTCAATATAGAATATTTTCCAAATTTTATATGAAATTTAATTCCAATGAACTTCAGTATGAAGTAAATTATATTTTTTGTAATTTTAAATTGTTTTGTTCATTACATATACTAAGATGAGTTTTTAAAGCAATAAGTGAAACAAAAAAGTATAAACAACTAAAATATATAATGATTACAAGTATATTTACAATGAATAATTCTATAACTTAACTTAAAGATTTCAATTTAAAAAATAAACAAAGAAAAAGAGCAATAACTTTTGCAAATGATGTAAAGTAAAAGTTTTAATAAAATTGAATAATTGGTCCTTAAAATTTAATATAAAAAAAAACTAAAATATAAAACAAAATCTAATCAATTTGATAAATTTTACTCCCAAGATTAAAACTTGCCAATAGGTGTGAATAATTTTCACTCAAATGTAATCTGAAAAACGGTAGCACAGTGGGGTCGCGGCACAGTGTGGACGAGGCATAGATGAGACAAGTATAGATGATATCTGACAGTGATTAAAATCACTATCATTAGAAACGCTTCGATGCAAATCTATAGATAGAGTTTAATTTTAAGAGATTGGTAGATTATTTCAAAAGCAATCATAACTCTTATTCCCTTAATTTTATACCGATTTATAATTATAATATATGAATACATAATAATTATAGTAATTAAATTTAGTATGAAATTGATATTCAATAATATTGTAATTTTTACGGAGATATAATAAAAATAAAAAGGAGTTTATATTCATATGCTTTAACGCGTATAAAAATTTAAAGGGATTGATGCAATACTTTTTAATAAAAACATTTTGTTACTTATGAATAAATACACTAGACTACAAGGAAATTTCATCAGAAACAAAAATATACTTTTCTAAATCAACTTTTCGGGATGTTTTCAAATGTACAATTAAACTTTTTCTATCACTTCTAACTTTTAATGTTATTACTTATTATTGAAAAAAATAAGTATTTACACATAAAAAAAAATAATGAAGAACAAAAAAAAATTGTTTTAAATTAATACTGATTTTGATTATTAATATGTAAAAAATAAGGAAAATGACATATTTAACCTATTTTCTTAATCGTTTAAAGTTGATTTTTGTGAATGTTTTAATAAAAAAAATTAATTTATTTTACCATAATTTTTAGCTCAATTGGAAAGTTTGAAATTGACATCATTAACTAGAAAATTTTATGAGAATTAAAAAAATTGTATCGTTAAGATTAATATGTAGTTAGGAAGTTTTATAAATACTATTTATAGTAAATTTATTAGAATAGCTCAATATTTTTTTGCATTTTTATCGTAATAGATAACTTAAATAGAAGTAATAGTAATCATTTCCTAATAACTTTTGGTGTTTAAAACGAATCTGCAATTGAAATATTTAGAACTTAATTAATTTTAATGATTTACTTTAACTAAATGAACCAATCAAAACAAAGTTGTTAAAAATATTTACTCAATTCAGCGTATTATAAAATTTGATTATAATTGTAAAAATCCATTGTTAATTCAGGAGAAACTAACTATCATTTTTTAGCTTCGATGCAAAGCTGAGCAGGTATTGGTTTTACTATGATGTGTTTTTTTTTTGTGTCTGTTACCACTTTTTCTCAGCTCTCACCGAACGGATTTCTTTCAACGATACGTCAAAAGATCACAAATCGTATCTAGTCGAAGACATTACCCTCAAAAATTGAAAAAATTTCCCTCGTTCCCCGTAAATGGGGGAAACCTCCAAAAAAATTACAAATTTAATTTTGATTGAAAATCGCTAATTTTCGAAATTTTTTCAATTTTTTTTACTTAAAACTGCCATTACTTTTTCAAAAATGAACAAATCAATATAATTTTTTTTTGTAGATGCTTGATGCCTTTAATTATCATTTGGTATATTTTTTTTATACAGGGGGGATTTTAAATGACAACTTTTTCAACTTAACTTTTGAAAGTTTACCGGAAAGTCTGACACTTTTATATATATCTTAAATTAAAGATAATGTAATGTACTTCATTATGAAAAAAAAAATTTCGGACTTTATTTTGTCTTCATGGTTAAAATTACTACCAAATGCTATTTTTGTGTGAAAATTCTCGATTTTATTTTTTTAATTTTTAACTTTATAATGCTATAACTTATTGAAAAGTGTATGGATCAACACAATTTTTTTATGAGAAATAATATTTTTTAATAATCCCTTTTTCATTTGACATACTTTATCTTAATCAGGATATTAATAAAGAAATAGCAGATCATGTAGCTTTTGGAATAATCCACCAATTTTTTTAAAATTAAACACTATCTAAAGATTTGCATCGAAGCTTTTTTTTTGATAGTGATTTTAATCACTGTCAGATATCATTATACTTGATCCAACTATGGCACATCACCACTGTGCTGGGTTTTTTTTTACTCTATTTGTGTGTGTTACTACTAGACTACAATATTCGAAATATTGTAATATAAACATTTTTTTTCAAACTTGCAAATTGAGCTAAAAGTTATGGTAATAAATTAATTTTTTTTAATTATAAACTTTCACAAAAATCAACTTTAAAGGATTAAAAACAGGTTAAATATGTCATTTTCCTTATATGTAACATATTAATAATTAAAATCAGTATTAATTTAAAGCAATTTTTTATTGTTTTTAATTATTTTTTTTTTGTAAATACTTATTTTTAATAATAAGTAATAATATTAAAACTTAGAAGTGATTACAATATTATTTATTATGTTATTATAATATAAAAATTTTACTTAAATTTTTTTATTATTATTAATGTATAAGTTTAACACGTTAAAATAATGTTTACTTAACACATTGTTAAGGAACACGTATTTTTTGAGAATACTAATAAAATGTAATATTAGTAATAATTAATTGTTTTTTATTAAATATTTAAGTCATGCATATAAATTAACACAATTATTGTATATAATAATGGAACTATGAGAAAAATTTAGCACAAGAAAATTAATTTAAAGGTATTTATTAAATGGTTCCTGACCCTTGGGATAATAAACTAGCTCGGCTGAATCATCATCATTCACTTCACAATTGTTATCTAATTAAACAAAAATAAATTATTACAATAGAGTTGTGAAATCATGTTACGTATTAATTAAATAAAATAATAGTACATTATTTTATAACCATAGAGACAAATTTAAAAAAAAAACCGGTTTTTTACGGTTAATGGAAAGTTTAAACTTTTAAACATCCTGTTTTCACGAGAGGGGTAAACGATAACTTTATTTATATATAAAAGTAAAATATGAACTAGAACTCATAACTTTTATTTAAAAAAAATTGAATTATTTAAATAAAACTGTAAAACGTTCAAAATATTACTATTAAAATAAAGTAAACCTATGACTTCACATAAGTTAACTGTTTTTTCATAATTTTTAATTAAATTTATACTCTTATTTATTTGTTTATGTTATTTATTCTATTTAGTAAACACTTTAGTGATAACACTTAGATAGGTAAACCAAATCAAGACAATTCANTTAGTAAACACTTTAGTGATAACACTTAGATGGGTAAACCAAATCAAGACAATTCAGTATGAGGTGCTCACAATGGACCAAACAGACCAACTAAAACCAAAACTATTCTAGTTAGTATAAATGAACTGTTTAATAATAAAAGAATAGTTAAAAAGTGTTTAATGATCAACCGTCATTTAATAATATTTTCAAGAATATCATATATATATTAGCTAATGCTTTATTATTAAAATATGGTATAAGTTTTTAGGATTAGTGAATAATTTTTTTCTTTTTATAATATACATAAATATCAGCCAAACTGTTTAAAAATATATATTTTTTTAATTTTTAGCTCACTAGACCAATTAGAAATATAAAATATAATGACTTTAAATATCCACGCAATCAATTTTCGACTAAATATTTTGAAACAAAAAAATGTGTATTCTACAGTAAAAATGAAACTACTCTGACACACTAATCATAATATTTGCACGAAAATTGTAAAACAGAAGCCGTTTTTCCGATTATTTTTGATCAAAATACGAAAAACACGTTAAGTGACTGGTAAAATTCTTTTAAAAATTTCAAATTTTCACAAAATACATATTATAATGTATATAATAAAGTTAAAATTGTTCTCATTAAAATTTCAATGATCGAATTTTTTTGATCTACCCTAATATACGTATATTAGGGAGTATAAAATATATTGAAATGTCAGAAATTCGACAAATTTTCGAATTCTTTTGAGAGCCGGTTTTAGCTTCGATGCGAAGCTGAGAAGGTATTAATTTTACTATGATGTGTTTTTTTTTTTTTTTTTTTTTTTTTTTTTTGTGTCTGTATACGCTCAATCTCAGCTCTCACTGAACCGATTTTGATGAAAAATATGTCAAAAGATCACAAATCGTATCTAGTTGAAGACATTACCCTCAAAAATTGAAAAAAAATCCCTCGTTCCTCGTAAACGGGGGAAATCCCCCAAAAAATTACAAATTTAAAAATCGCTAATTTTCGATATTTTTTCATTTTTTTTTACTTAATATTGCCATAACTTTTTTAAAAATGACCGAATCAATATAATTTTTTTTTTTATAGATACCTTAGATAATTACCTATCATTTTATATATTTTTGTAAAAACATTTGACCCTTTAACAGCCCACAGGGGGGTTTCAAAATGGTAACTTTTTTACAAAAAATTAACTTTTTCAACTTAACTTTTGAAAATGTTCCGGAAAGACTGACAATTTTATATATACCTTAAATTAAAGCTAATGTAATATACTTTAATTTGAAAAAAAAAAATTTGACCTCTGGACTTGTCTTCATGGTGAAAATGACTACCGTATGCAAAAATATGCTATTTTTGTGAAAAAATTCTTGATATTATATTTTACATTTTTTAACATTATGTTGCTATAACTTTTTAAAAAATGCATGAATCAACTTTATTCTTTAATGATAAATACTTTATATATACTTCTTTCATTCGACATACTTTTTTTTAAAATCGGACCATTTCCCTTTATACAGGGGGGGTGCAAACCTTTTAAAATGCGTATAGAAAGTAGAACTTTTTCAACTTAACTTTTGAAAATGTTCCGGAAAGACTGACACTTTTATATATATCTTAAATTAAAGCTTATGTAATATACTTTAATTTGAAAAAAAAAAATTTGACCTCTGGACTTGTCTTCGTGGTGAAAACGGACATCAAAGTTAAAGAAAAACGTACGATTTCCGTGAAAAAAATCTCGATTTTATATGTTATATTATTTAATTTATATTTTATATAACTTTTGGAAAAATGTATGGATCAATATTATTATTTTTTTATAATAAATATTGATATACCCCTTTCATCTGGCACGCTTTTTTTGTAAATCGGATCATACCCCTTTAACAAGGGGGGTCAAAACTTTAAACATGCGTATTGTTACTACGATATTTTCAATTTAATTTTTGAAAGTATTCCGGAAATACTGACACTTTTAAATATATCTTAAATTAAAGCTTATGTAATATACTTTAATGTGAAAAAAAAAAATTTGACCTCTGGATTTGTCTTCATGGTAAAAATGACTACCGTATGCAAAAATATGCTATTTTTGTGTTAAAATTCTGGGTTTTGTATTTTATTTTATTTTAAAATACCTGACAAGGGGAGTACAGATTTTCATAAATATTATATAAATTAAAATTGATATAGTATAGATAGTTAAACTTATTTAAATATGTTTGTTTCTTTTAAGTCGAGAAAAATAACTTTGAAATTTGAACTAGCTTAAATAGCCAATTTTTCAACCGCCGGAAGCAACGTACGGTTGCCGAGTTGGTAAAATTTATGTTTTACACGCTTGGGGTACGAGGTTCCAACCCGCATATGGCAATGAATTTTTTGCATTTTTTCTTAATTCTTTTTAAGTTAGTATAAATTTTAACTCGTTTGATTTTTATCACATTTAGATTCAATAACTTCAATAAAGATCAAGGATCCCATCACTTTAGTCGCCCCTTGCAAGAAGAAATTTCTTATTCGTATTAAAATTATTTTACTATATTTTAAGTTTTCGCTTCGATGCAAAGCCGAGAAGATATTTTTTTGTGACTATCATTTATTTTCTCTGCTCTAACTTGACCTACTTTTTTCAACAATACGTCAAATTACTACAATTCGTATCTAGTTGAAGATATTACTCTCAAAAATTGAAAAAAAAATTCTAATTTATCAATTAAACAGTTAGTTATTACATCGTCTCCATAAAGACAATTAAAATCATTAATTTCTAATGTTTTCAAAATATTTATTAACGAATGAAGTTTGATATGATAGGTTTCAACTACAAAATTAAATCATTTTACTTTGTAATTTAATAATTTTATTACTCTGTTTGTGTGTGCTACTATTAGACTATAATATTCAAATTTTTTTCTAACGTGTTGCTATATAAATCATTTCTAAAAAAAATGATTGTTTTTTCTCCTGAATTAACAATTGATTTTTACAAATATAATCAAATTTTATAATAAACTCAATTGAGTAAATCTTTTTAACAACTTTGTTTTGATTGGTACATTTAGTTAAAGTAAATCATTAAAATTAATTAAGTTCTCAATATTTCAATTATAGAATCTTTTCAACAAACAACAAAAGTTCCTAGGAAATTATTACTATTACTTCTATTTAAGTTATCTATTACCATAAAAATGCAAAAAAATATTGAGCTTTTCTGATAAATTTACAATAAATAGTAATTATAAAACTTTCTGACTGCATATTGATCTTAACGATACAATTTTTTTAATTGTCATAAAATTTTCTATTTAATTATGTCAATGTCAAACTTACCAATTGAGCTAAAAGTTATGGTAAAATAAATTTTTTTTTTTTTTTATAAACATTTACAACAATCAACTTTAAACGATTAACAAAATTGGTTAAATATGTCATTTTCCTTATTTTTAACTTATTAATAATCAAATTAATATTAAATATTATATCAAATCAGTATTAATTTAAAACAATTTTTTTTGTTCTTAATTATTTTTTTTTATATGTAAAAACTATTTTTTAATAATATTAAAACTTAGAAGTTATAGAAAAAGTCTAATTGCACATTTTAAAACATCGCGAAAAGTTGATTTAGAATAGTATATTTTTGTTTCTGATGGAAGTTCCTTGTAGTCCAGTGTATAAAACTTATAACTTTGTTAATTGTTATAACTTTATCAAAAATGACCAAATCAGTATATTTTTTTTTATTTAGATGCATGTCTTTATCTATCATTTGGTTTTTTTTATAAATCTAACCCTTTACCTGCCCACAAGAGGGATTCAAAATATTAACTTTTTTTTTTTTAGTTAAAGTAAATCATTAAAATTAATTCAGTTCTGGATATTTCAATAGTAGAATCTTTTTAAATATCAAAAATTACTTAGAAATGATTACTATGATTTCTATTTAAGTGTTCTATTACGATAAAAATGCAAAAAATAATGAGTTTTTCTGATAAATTTACAATAAATAATAATTATAAAACTTTCTGACTGCATATTAATCTTAAAAATAACATTGTTTTAATTCTCATAAAATTTTCTATTTAATGATTCATTCTAGTCAACGAAGGAGTAATTTTGCAGAATAGCAGAAAAAATTCCCAACAAACTTTTTTTTTTTTTGTTTTAATTAGGCAATTGGTGGATTATTCCAAAAGCAACATCAACTCTTATTTCTTTAATTATATCATGATTAGTAGTTCTTTGATTTTAAAATATAATATTTGAATATATACTAATTATAATTATTAAATTTAGTATGAAATTGATATTTAATATTGTAATTTAAACGGAGAAATTATAAAAATAATAAAGAAGTTATATTTTGCTTTACTTTTACGTGTATAAAAATTTAAAGGGCTTGATACAATAATTTTCAATAAAAACTGTTTGTTACTATAAAAAAATGCACTGGACTACAAGGAACTTTCATCAGAAGCAAAAATATACTTTTCTAAATCAACTTTTCGCGTTGTTTTCAAATCTGCAAGTAGACTATTTCTATCACTTCTAATTTTTTATATTATTACTAATTATATATATAAAATAATAATTAAAAGAAAAAAAAATTTGTTTTCAAATTATTACTGATTTGATTTTTAATATGTTAAAAATAATCAGTCCAAATTTTCAATTTTAACCTATTTTTTTGGTTCTTTAAAGTTGATGAAAAATTTTTGATAAAGATTTATGAAAGTTTATAGTAAAAAAAATTGAATATATTACCATAACTTTTAGCTCAATTACAAGTTTAAAACTGACATCTAGGCCAGTCAACAAAGGAAAAATTTCTTAAAAAATTCCCAACCAAATGTTGTTTTAANAAAAATTCCCAACCAAATTTTGTTTTATTAATATTTGAATTAAAATATGTATAATGACATACTAATAGTCCTCATTGATTGAAATTGAGCTTTTTTTTTACAGCTTCGCAAAAGTTCAAAAATATGAGCTTATTTAATTTTCTCAAAAAATATTTAACTTACAAAAAAAGTTTCGTACAAAGTGAGTTTATTTATTTATAGTATCATTTAAGTGTAGTGTATATTGAGATACAACCGATAGAGTAGGTAATTGATTTGACGCTATATTGTTTAAACCCAACTAAACGCTAAATTGTACATTCCCAAACAACAATCATATTATGTCAATTGCCATCGGAATTTCTAGTAATATTTTTCTTTTTCTGTGCCTTAATCCCAACTACTTGGGATCGGCCACCCTTATCCTAAGCTTCCACTTGACACGATCTCCCACATCTTCTACGCTCACATCAGCTGTCCTCAAATCGCATTCAATAGCATCCCTCCATCTCTTTTTTGGTCTTCCTCTATCTCTTCTTCCTTCAACATTCATTTCTATAACTGTTCTTACAGCTTTCGATTCTTCTTTCCTCATACCATGACTAAACAATCTAAGTCTATTTTCTGTCATCTTATCCACGATTGACGCAACACCTATACTTCCTCTTATATGCTCGTTCCTTATCCTATCTTCTCTAGTCACTCCACTCATCCAACTAAGCATTCTCATCTCTGCTACACTTATTCTCTGCTCTACTTTCTTATCAACCGCCCAACACTATGAACCATACATCATAGCTGGCCTCACAATTTCATACTAAATTTAAAAACTATAATTAGTATTTATTCATATATTATATTTTAAAATCAAAGAACTACTAATCAGGATATAATTAAAGAAATAAGAGTTCATGTTGCTTTTAAAATATTTCACCAATTTCTCTAAAGGAAACACTATCTACAGATTTGCATCGAAGCGTTTCTTATGATAGTGATTTTAATCACTGTCAGATATCATCTATACTTGTCCCATCTATGCCTCGTCCACACTGTGCCTCGACCCCACTGTGCTACCGTTTTTTTTTATTATAACCAGTAAAAAAATTATCTCTTGTAAAATTTGAGACCAATCCGATTACGTTAAAATATGGAAACTTATGGTCAAAGTTTGACTTTGGCTATATTTTTTTTTCAATTTTTTTCTTAACCCATTATTTAAAGCTCAATGATAAAATAAAAACTATATTAAAAATATTATTAATTTAATAACTAAAATATATTAAACTCAAAAGCCACAAAAAATTACTTAAAAGTCACTGATCGTATTTCGGAAACAATGTTACCATTATCAATGCTAAATACATACTAAGTAAGTACTATTAGCATGTGTTTAGCGTTGATAATGGTAACATTGTTTCCGAAATAGGTATCCGCGACTTTTCAGTAATTTTTTGTGGCTTTTGAGTTAAATGTTTTTTAGTTTTAAATTAATAATATTTTTAATATAGTTTCAATTTTATTCAATTAATTAGCCACAAGTGATCAAATACATAAAAAGTATTTTAATTTATTATAAAATCATTACTTTCTTGTCTAATGTCTTCCCGTATCTCTACATCATTAATCCGTAGTATCGAAGGATATGCTGTAATATCTAAACGTATTAAAATGGTTGTTAGGTCAATTTAAAAATTATTTCGATTAAAAAATAGCGGTACTGTTAAGTATTAGGGAAAATTTACCATTTTTTTTAATTGTTTCTTGCGTATTTACATAATTGGTATTTTGTGTAAAATTTGTAGAAAGATTTTGTGCCATACCTAAATATGTTAGCAACAAATTATTTCAAATAAATGTAATATTGCTTAAATAATTATACCATGATTGTAACTGGTAGATAGTTGAACAGGTAAAAATGTCTGATTTGTGTTCCAATCAAATTTAAATCCAAGATCAATATATTTTTTCTTGATTGTTGTTAGGATAAAATTACTAATTTTATCACCAAGAAAAATAAATAGTTCTTGAAATTTTAATGTATTGCATTCTAAAATCCATAAATTCCACAATGAATCAAAATCCAAGTGTTTTAGTTGACAAAATGACTTATCTTCATCAAGTTCTTTACGCCTTGACAATAATATTTCCGCGATAGTCTTTAATACATCCTCAATTGAAAGCAAACTGGTTCTCAACGTAGTCAATAAAGTTTTTCCTTCCTGTATATTTGTTAGTAACCTGCTTAAAATAATACGGTTTCTTCTTCTCTCACTGTTCCGGGAAAAAATATAATATTTATCTATTGCATCTAAAGCTCCTTTCATACATTCTGCCATCGGAACAATTTCAATCATTTTCATTAAAAGTGTGATTGTACAATTGTGCGCACTAGTATAACTAGAAACTAATAGCTCAAAACAATGTTCTTGAAATTTAGTTAATGAAAAGTTTATTAAATCTAAATCATTAGCGTAAGAACATCCAAGGAATAGCATTGCTTGCCGTATACAATCATTACAATTAAATAATTTTACAGGATTAAAAATTAAATTTTTCAGTTCATGTTTATTGTTTCCATACTTAATTAATTCGACATCATTTATATTATTCCATCCTGGCTGACGTAGAAAATTATTTATGATAATCGCATTTTCTTTATAATTACGTGTTCCTTCAGTTTGTAAAAAAGCGAAAAACATACATAAATACACTTGAATATTTAGTATTATTGCCATTTTCATTTTCAAAAAGTTATGAATCTATTTTTTTATATCTATCTTTTTATTAAAAAAAAATTATTAGAAAATTTGATTCAATGATGACATCAATAAAGTTTTTTATTTCCATACTAAAATAAAAAATTTGCAAATAATGCTACACTATGTAAACAAGTGCAGATAGGCAAACAAAATTAATTTACATGTGACCGCGAGGAGGAGCTGGATTATTGTTTTAAACACTGCGTGTTCTATTAATTACTTTGAGTACATTAGAGTAAATAGTGTTTTAAACTTAGGAGTGCTCCATTTCCTTAGATTAACCTTATTTTTATCTATTAATTGATGTTCTCCACATGTGTGAGATTAGAAATAAATTGTTTTAATACACATAATATTACTAGTAATAAAATATAATAAACATACAAGTATAATAAAAAAATACTTTTTATTAAAAAACATTTTTTAATGATTGTTATTAAGACAATTTTAACTTGCATCAGTTTTTTTATTTATAAACTTATTACATAACGATGAACAAATAGCATAAAGATAAATTTTGTAACTAAATTAAACACAACATTTTTATAGTATTTTATTAAAAAAAAATCAGTTTAGCAATGTCTACATCTGTTTATAACAGTTGAGAACACGTAACAATTAAATCACAAATTAATACAAGTAAATACATATTATAGATTATAAATTAATAATTTTTATTATTATTTAATGTATAAAGATTTAAATTTATCAATATTACTACAAACGAAATAATTCGCACCAGCCCTATTACCCGCCAACATTAAAACAATAATGGGAGAAGGTCCTAATATTTTTTTTAAAATATTTTTTACGTAGAATAAATCTTTAATTCGGGTGCTAATTTTAGGTATTTTAAATTGTAAACGCTCAAGAAAGAATGAACAATCAATGTCACCATTAATAAGTTTAAATAAAAACACTAAATTTTGACTGTTTCTTCTATAACCTAAAGTATTAATATTGAAAAACCCTAAAACTCCATCGTAACCAGAATGGGATATCCTTTCAGCCTTACATTTAAATGATAAATATCTTAGAAAATTATTTTGTATTGAATCTAAGTCATGAATTTGAGTAAAAGAATTATTAAACCACACAAGTGAAGCGTATCCAAGGCGAGATCTAACTAATGAAAAATAAACTGCCTTATGGGCATCTACGCAAAAGAATTCGTGGCTAATTCTTTTTATGAAATATAAATTAGATGTAGCTTTTATTTTTATCTCATTAATGTGTGCATTAAAAGTTAGTTTTGTATCAAATGTAACTCCCAGGTCTTTTACATTATCTACTGTTTTAAGAAGATGATTGTTTAAAAAGTATTCATGCAGTATGGTTTTTTTTTTTAGTGTAAAGGATAAGATAGAGCATTTATTTGTATTGAGAGTCATACCATTATCGTTACACTACAAAGCGAAATTATGAATATCAGTTTGAAAGCAAACAGCATCGGAAATAGTGTTAATGGGCATAAATAGTTTCGCATCATCTGCTAAGAGTAATATTTTTGAGTATTTCAATACATTTACAATGTCGTTTATAAATATAAGAAACAAGAGAGGTGATAAATGATCACCTTGAGGAACACCTGATGTTACTCTAATAACATTAGACTGAAAATTTATTTATTTTATAATCTGTATTCTATTAGTAAGAAATGAATTAAACCAAGATAATGGATTTAGAATACCAATCAATTCTAATTGACGTACTAGTAATGTGTGGTTTATTTTATCGAATGCTTTTTCAAAGTCAGTATAGACAGCATCTTGTTGAGAATTAGATTCAAAAGAGTCTATAATAGTCTGCTTAAAAACCGTAAGATTTGTAACAGTTGATCTTCCATTACGAAATCCATGTTGTTCGTTTATAAAAACATTTTTGAACATTGGCGTAATATTTTGAGTAATCATTTTCGAAAAGATTTTCGCAATTAATGAAATTTTTGATATAGGTCTATAGTTAAAAATAATTTTAATATGAATAAAAAATTTCTTCTCGCGAGTGGCGACTACAGTGAGGGATTCTTGATCTTTATTGAAGTTATTGAATCTAAATGAGACAAAAATCAAAGCAGTTGAAATTTATTCTAACTTAAGAAGAATTAAAAAAAAATGCAAAAAATTCAAATACGCGGGGTGGAACCTTGTACCCCAAAACAAATATTTTACCGACTCGGCCACTGTACGTCGCTACCGTCGCCTGAAAAAAATGGCTATTTAAGCTAGTTCAAATTTCAAAGCTATTTTTATCTACTTAAAAAAAGCAAAAAAAATTAAATAAGTTTAACTTTCTATGCTATATCAATTTTTTATTTGTATATTATTTATGAAAATAAGTGTCCTCCCTTCGTTAGGTATTTTAAAATAAAATAAAATACAAAACCCAGAGTTTTAACACAAAAATAGCATATTTTTGAATACTGTAGTCATTCTTACAATGGGGTATATAAAAATTTATTATAAAAAAATAATAATATTGATCCATACATTTTTCCAAAAGTTATATAAAATATAAATTAAATAATATAAAATATGAAATCGAGAATTTTTTCATGGAAATCGTACGTTTTTCTTTAACTTTGATGACCGTTTTCACCACGAAGACAAGTCCAGAGGTCAAATTTTTTTTTTTCAAATTAAAGTATATTACATAAGCTTTAATTTAAGATATATATAAAAGTGTCAGTCTTTCCGGAACATTTTCAAAAGTTAAGTTGAAAAAGTTCTACTTTCTATACGCATTTTAAAAGGTTTGCACCCCCCCTGTATAAAGGGAAATGGTCCGATTTTAAAAAAAAGTATGTCGAATGAAAGAAGTATATATAAAGTATTTATCATTAAAGAATAAAGTTGATTCATGCATTTTTTAAAAAGTTATAGCAACATAATGTTAAAAAATGTAAAATATAATATCAAGAATTTTTTCACAAAAATAGCATATTTTTGCATACGGTAGTCGTTTTCACCACGAAGACAAGTCCAGAGGTCAAATTTTTTTTTTTCAAATTAAAGTATATTACATAAGCTTTAATTTAAGATATATATAAAAGTGTCAGTCTTTCCGGAACATTTTCAAAAGTTAAGTTGAAAAAGTTCTACTTTCTATACGCATTTTAAAAGGTTTGCACCCCCCCTGTATAAAGGGAAAAGGTCCGATTTAAAAAAAAAGTACGTCAAATAAAAGAGGTATATATAAAGTATTTATTATTGAAGAATAGAATTGATTCATACATTTTTCAAAAAGTTATAGCATCATAATGTTAAAAAATGTAAAATATAATATCAAAAATTGTTTTACAAAAATAACATATTTTTGCATACGGTAGTCATTTTCACCATGAATCCAAGTCCAGAGATCAAATTTTTTTTTCAAATTAAAGTATATTACATAAGCCATAATTTATGGTATATATAAAAATGTTAATCTTTCCGAAACATTTTCAAAAGTTAAATTTAAAAAGTTAACTTTTTTGACAAAGTTGTCATTTTAAATCCCCCCCTGTGGGCTTGCAAAGGGTTAAATGTTCACAAAAATATATTAAATGATAGGTAAATATCTAAGGTATCCATAAAAAAAAATTATATTGATTTGATCATTTTTAAAAAAGTTATGGCAATTTTAAGTAAAAAAAATTGAAAAAATGTCGAAAATTATCGATTTTTAAATTTGTAATTTTTTGGGGGATTTCCCCCGTTTACGGGAAACGAGAGAATTATTTTCAAATTTTGAGGGTAATTTCTTCGACTAGATACGATTTTTTTGTATTATCTTTTGGCGTATTTTTCATCAAAATCGGTCCAGCGAGAGCTGAGATTGAGCATTCACAGACAAAAAAAAAAAAAACACATCATAGTAAAATTAAGCATCGAAGCTAATATGACAAAGTTTAAATTGAATATAATTTGAAAAAACCTAGTAGTAAATACGGACTAATAATCATACAACAAATAAAGGACAAAATGAATAATGAAATTAATTTTCATATCTGTTAATAAGCTTAATTGATTAATTGATTAGAAATATTTTTATTTTATTTTTCTATAATATATTGAAATGATCTTTTAAAAATTATAAAGTACTAATACAGCCTTAAAAATGTCTAAACATTGTAGAATTTATCGCTTTCTTCTTTTGAGGTACTAACTTTATGTTCAATTTTTTCTGTTAAAAGTAATTAATATCTTTGTTCTAGGTCATTAGTCAACCATTGGTTATCTACGGCTATCTTTTTATTGGAGATAATTCAGATTCAGATAATTAATTATTTATTTCTATTATATTTGCTGACAAGTCATTATTTTCTGTAATGGTTTTTGTTAAATCAATAGTCCATATTTTCTGTAGACTTCTTTTTGGTACATTTATATACGACCAAACCATTAAGTATTTTAGTAGATCTAAATTATTAACCGACTTAGTGTGCATTAATTTACGTTTTACTTAGGACAACATATATTATAATAACCGAAGACTTTCCATCGAATGTACTTTTTCCGAACATTTAAAGAATTAATGTTATTTTAAGCATTTAGTAATGTTGAAGACATTTGTACTTTACTTGGTATTTCAAAACTTACTAGAACATAGTTGTTCTTAAAGAGCAATAACTAAAATGAATTTCCTCTAAATCGCTTAAAAATTCTTCTACATTAAATATTCTATCCATTGATAAATAATTTGCAGGAATTTGGTTGGTATTTTTTGTAAATATTGAATGATTGTATGCTGCCATAGATTTTAACAGAGCAATGTTTATTTTCAGCATTTTTTTTTTGTTACTGACACGAAAAATCCTTTGAAATACAATGACATCTCTTCCGGGCGTTTCTGTTTCATTATACGATTGTCCACTTCTGACAAGGGCCATCCAAATAAAATATGATACACATTACTTCAGGTATCAATTTGATGATCAATGTTAAACATAATACAAGCTGATACTTTATACTTTTCTGGTTATGGTTATTCAATATTATTTTTAGCATTGGTCTCCAAAAACGCCTTGGTAAGTTCAGTCGATATTAATTT